TGCAGTGTAACACACGGGAAGAGACTTTCGGAGCAGTTTTTCCAAAGTTTAAAGATTGTCTTCTTCTGTGTTATGTTTCGTGTAATTTCAAGAAACACCATCTTGAAATCGTATAGAAAAAGGTTTTTCAAAACGATACCTGACTTTCCATGCTCGGCTGTTAATTGTAACGTCAACATCGGCCTATAAAGTGATAACAATCTCGAACTGCTTAGCCACCCCAGTGCAAGTAAAATCTGACTTTTGCAAAGGTGCCATCATCGGCAAGACTGACAATACGAACTACTTATGAACGCTGCCGTACAATTTTGCAGAAGTGAAGATTAAAAGTGCCAAAAACGGAATCTCCTCGAAATTCTCGAGCTTATTACAATGCCAAATTGGGTGACATGCAATGCATCGCGCCTTGAGGAACCATATAAAAGATAGAAGATCAGTAGTTATGGCTGACGCTGCAAAGGCGGGAAGAGTGTTTGCGACGTCCGGCAAAACTTCGCCAACTTCGATACAAAGATGGCGCAACTTAGCACTTCATCCAGATCACAGTTTCGAGAAAAACTATGGAGAAAGTTATTTACTGCCTATGCTCTCATCTCTCTGACACGCCATCATATATCATAAACAGGACAAACATATTGAAACGGTCAGCGAGTTTTTATTATTATTATTATTCCACAAGAGCATAGGAATGCAATATGAGCTGTTTTTTCTTTCGGACAAAATAACCAAATTTAGGCAGTGAGAGATAATCTGACAAAGTTTGCTCAACTTCATATATACTGTGCACTGATAACAGTTCCACAAAAAGGAAAATAAAGGTTAGTGAAGGTTGATGAACTGTGCACAAATTTCTTCAATAAAGAGACTGCCAATGCGCTTCGTCGGTGGTTGCCATCCACTCAACAGTGCATCTTAGTGTAGGACAAGTACCAAGTTTATCTTCACATACGTAAATGAACAAACTTTTACGCAGAAAATGATGAGCAATGGAATCTTTCGCTAATGTACCCGATAAAAACCTTCCTTACTTTACCCTCGTTGCAATAAAACTGTCAATTGAGAATTCTCACCCTGGAAATCTGCCTAGGGATTGATGCTTTTTCAAATGGAAAGCCTTTTCTGACTAGCTTTACTATAGGAATGTGACAGTTGCGGACGTAGAAATATTCACAAGAGAACGTTCAATCGAAAGCAATACGAGAACCAATGTTGGACGTTTTGCCTTTGTCAGAAATAACTTAGTACGTATAAGAACAGTTCAAAAGTTTCAAATCAAAATGGCAACGATTTGAAAACTGATGGATTTGTTTTTATAGAGAACAACTCCTTGTAATGTTGTTTCAAACTTTGTTGATTTCAAAATGCAATTGTTGACAAATAGCGAAGATTTTCCTGGAGAAAAATTTTTTATAGCCTTCCAGGACACGCTTGCATACGGAAGGCAGATTTGAAATCAACGTTTCAAGCTGCATATACCTATTACCATCCCCTATCATTCTTTATGCGCCACTTCGACTGAATCCTTTCTTTCCAGGACCAATACCCTACAAATTTATCCACATTTCTTAATTGCAACAGATTTTGAATAATTAGCAACATTTAGTAAGTGAAATGCAGCCCTTTATACATTTTCTTCTAATTCTGCAATCCCAATTGTGCAAACTATGCTACAGAATATAAATTCTAGAACTTCCTACAAAGCTTGTTTTTTGATTGGATGCAAGTCTGTGCAATCCTACTCCACAGAGGTATATCTTGGTATCTTTTGTACTATCTGACATCCTACACTAGGAAATTTGATTTTGCTTTAAACGTTTCTTTGATGCATGATATCAAAGTGCACGACTTTGGCACACACACTTCTTTCTCCAACTATAATCAATTGCTCGTATTCCATCCGCAAAAAGCCTAAACAGACAATAAACAGAGTGGGGTCATGCAAGTTACTTCATATAACTGTTGTGTCTTATAAGAATTTATTCAATTAATATACTTTGCTCAATTTTTGCTCAAAATGCAAGACCGTTTTGGCACCAATAAGATTTGAACATTTCATTGCATGCTACATATATCACACTCTCCACTCGACCAACAACTACAACATTACTTCATTTCATTTTTGAGCGCAGAATACGTTCCTACAGAGGTCGGCTCCACAAATGGAAGACACGTAATTGAGACTTTTCTCAAGCCCTTCTCAGCCATATACATCCCATTGTGGCCGGGTTGAATGCCGTATATTGTAATCTGTAAGGTAGCTTCCAACTACAGTTAGAACAGCGGTATTAGAACTGACGCTTATGTTTATTTAGATTTTTTTCTCCGGTTGACACGAAAACTGCCTTTACGTTCTAAAAGTGAATATCTTCTTCATATATATACAATCTTTAGACTAAGCATAAGATAACCATGCGAAGCATGATAATTGCACAGTAAGAAAAGTTTGAAAACCCATATTTCGCCAGAGATTAGATACAGGGTCGACGAAGAAAGCTAGTCAATCACAAGTGAAGTTTTTGAAGTGAGTGTGTTGCTATTTAAAGAGTCACACAAGATCTCTGTCGTCTTCCACTTTTGTACTCATCAAAGGTTTGCGGTCAGCTGATTTCATGATAACAGCCTAAATTTATTTATTATACTCAAAGTGAATCCACTCAAAAATTACAATTACTTTGAAAAACTGGATTATATGCACATATTATAACATGTTTAACTAACCTTCTTGTCCATTTCTTGTTTCCTCACATAAGTGTACGCAGCAGAGCCGAGTAGAACGATTACATTACTAACCCACCTATAAAGCAATAGCTAGTAACATATGGCACTTATCAACTTCAAAGGCATTCTGCTGTGCACATGCCTTAAATTTCGGATTCAAAGAGGGTCACGGAACTTGCATTTGCGGCGAACATTTTTAGTAATTTCATTTTCATGTGTGCTAGCGTTCACTCTCTTCGGTGTGCTTATTAACAAGACGTTTTCGCAATTATCTACACAGTAGCCTTTTTTTAAAAACTAGACGTCAGGAATTGGTGAATCTGGGGAAGAAAATAATTGGCTTAATGTCTTTCAGATGTTTTATGGCAGAGACACGTAAATTTCAGAGAGATAAAGACTGACCACATGAATGTCTTAATTTCTGAAAAATATATAACTGCCATTACAGTCTGAGCCGCCGCTTTTGCAGTCCCTGATATATTGTGTGTTAAAGCCGAAGTAGCCTGTAACAGGTTTACATAGAGCTAAAGTCCTGATAGATTCGCGGAGAAAAATTATAAAAGGTCATTACAGCCTTCTTAAAATTGGCTACTTGGGACAAAGTTTCACCTGTATTTGCCACCCAGTAACGTATCCCATTGCAAATCCAAATATTCCAGATAATGACATCCACATCCAGAAGGTTACATTAAAAAGACGTGGGAAGAACATCACTTCACCTAGTTCACCGCTGAAATTTACAAAAATTCGAGTGCTTATAATTGAAAGAGACAGAGTGACTTACGAAAAGAGCATCAGGGGTAGAAAAAGAACCAATGCATTGAGATTGTTGTACATAGTCAATCTCCAAATCGAATCACCAACAATAGGAAGTGTACTGGAAGCAAATCATACACAAAAGAACGGTAGGAGTGAAAAATATAACCAAATATCAACGCCTCCTCAAAATCATTGGATTTACTCGTCTTCTTGAAAATTTAAAAATTTCCCAGACAAAACATAGAGCTTTTCTTTGCAAAATACAGGCAGAAAGTAATACGAGACTTCGACTACCAAAGTTTTGCAGCGCGAAATCAAAGTAGGCCCACAAGATGTGATAAAACAGTCTTCCGCGTATATAAAATTGGTAAAATCCAAATGCCGTACCTTTGGGTATAAATAGCGTTCAGTGCAACGCAAAGAGATGCTAATACTCCGTATACAACACCAACCACAGAAAGAGTGCCTGAAATCAACCCACACTGTTCAATGAAGAATATGTGGTAAACTCAGTAGGTAAAAAGATGTCCTTAAAGGAAGAACTTGAAAAAGAATACGTACCTGATGCATCCTCTTGATCAACACCAAGCAAGAATCCTGCAATTATGACTAAGCAGCAACCTATAGCGCGCATAGATGTCTTCTGGCCCAAGATCAAGTAAGTGCATAACTAAATCCAGAAGATGAGGCACGATTTCTCATGAAAAAAGTAGGATACCATAGAAAAGCAACAAAAAAAGTTTGATTTCAATTCCACTAGATACATTTTAAAAGTTGTAACTTTCTTCGTTTATACGAAATTACCAGTCGCATACATGTATACGTATGGCTGATGATGCTTTTCAGAGATCATGCCGTTTTTTTTTT